TGAGAGGTACCGAGATCAATGCTCGGCATCTCCAATTCTTTTTTTTTTCACCAACAATCAATTGTATGATACTTTTTGTGTTCTAGCCCATTTGGAATCATACATTTTGTTTGACCATAATTGAAATGAAAATACTCTAAATTTCCACGTATATAGATTTTCTTGGCTCAAGTATAAGCTTCGCATGTTCAATATGTAAACTAATCAAATGTCAAACACATTAATGTCATGAAGATAGCGATCGTCGTGTGAAAGCCGCTTTATATCAACTTGAAACTTGATCGCATTGAATTTTTTTTTGCTTTCTGCCTTCTCGAGTCATACATATGTTTTTATAGGCAAAAAGAAGTAAAAAAAAACATTCTACGCTTCAGTTATATCATGTTCAACGCATAATATGCTGTAAACCAACTGTAAAATCAACAAAAATTTAATGCGTTACTCACTTTGGACGATCATTGAGTGTTGGCAACCGACCGGATCCAACAACTCGGTCGACTTCATTTTGGCATTTTTTCAAGATTTCTGGCTGCATGCAAAAGCGTTGCATTAAAAATTGCACTTGTACCGCACTGCCTGCAAGTGACGGCAAGAAGGTGTCTGTACACAACATGATCATTTGTTTATCTAAAGTGGAATTTGCAAATATGAATTTTAATTAAAATAATGTCACGCAATAAATAATTTATTCTAAATCGGGCTTACAGCTATAAGTTGATTTTGGATCGCCTTTTGTTTCATCGATTTTTTTGAAGTATATGTCCATGAAATGACGTTCATGGTTTGGATCAAACGTTTTATATTGGTCATCACAAATCGCCTAATGACAACGGTATCACGAAAATTTTAAATTTGCAACCCATTTGAAAGAAAATGAAACGGTAAAAGTTTGATCATAAATTATGATGATCAGAGATGACATGGGCACTTCACAAGTGTGGACACTTGCTTTGGTGCGGCACCAAGAACTATTTTATACAAACATTTTTGAGAGATTTTGAATTTGATACAATTTTTATAAAACTCAAATTTATTCAATTCCGAATCAAAAAGTATTTAATAACCGAAAAAAATCGGAGTAGAAGTAAGTGCCGGCACCAGCTAAGTGCCTATGGCAGATCATAATAAATACCTTGATACTCTTGTACAATTTCATAGAAGTGTCTCTTAATAAGTCATATTCGGAAAATTTTGGAAACAGCTTTGGAATCCATGGGTTATAACTGAACATTCTGCCCCAGTCATCACTTTTTCTGGCGAACAGAAGTCCATGTTTACCAGCTCTGTTTCAATTTAAATCAAAATTTTGATTGAATAAATTATTCTCAAAGGACAAAAATTCTTCTGTAATGTCATGCTTTTCGGTGCAAAAAGCGAACATTTCATGGGAAAAGTATATCTTACTCATGTAGCAAATGCATTTTTTCTCGGGGGAAACGCTCATTCAGTATGGTTTTTGCAAAAAAATTACCCAATGTCGGCATAAAAATGTAGGGCATCAGAACACTGTCACCATTATGGTAATTCTAAATTGGGAATGGTAATCAAATTAAAAATAATTGCATTAGTTATAACTAATTGCAGTTAATTATAAAAAAAAAACTTCATTAAACCTTTTCAAAACTGTATTTTGGTCCGTTTTTAATTAAATCAATTAAATTCAAAATTTCATCATTTAATTCGGATTCGAGTTCATCTTGACGTCGACCGAAGCCAAAATCTCGCAGTATTCGCAAAGCAAAACGTCGTTGTTCATGCCACAGTGGGCCCTCGCTGAAGAAAAGTCCTGAAAATGTCTTCTCATTACAAATTTGCTCATATGATTTTCCTTGTTCATTGGTACGAACAACGGAATCATCGGGAATAAAAGGAAAATCTTAATGAAGTATACGCAAAAGCGGCATTTCATACTATGGCGTTTCAATTTGTTAAGCCACAATTACAAAAGCAATATGTCTGTCTTTTGCATGTGCCCGTTTCCAAGTGCCTGCTTTTACACACTACGCTAAGGTGTGATATGAATCATTTTTGCCTTTAAGTCTCAGGAATTTAACTAATTAATTGCACGAAGCAATCAATTTCGTGTGGTTGCATTACCTCTAATTTCAAAATCTGGATCTCGTATTTGTGCCAGTGCTAGCCCTGGTCTACCGTCTAACGCCTGATTATTAAGACACTCTTTAGCAGCGGCTGCTGTGTTTGCGACAATCGTTGGGAAATGTGCCGCATACATACCCAATACATCGGTTTTGTAATACTTGCACATCCATTCGACCGCTTTATGTAAATGCCGATAATTTAACAGCAACAGATATGGATACGCGCCAAGGATGGGCAATCGAGGTGGACCTTTTGGGGAAATCACACAAAAATCCATTTAAACTGTATATCACACACTTTTGCGGAATTGGCATTCCCTGCAGAATATCAGAAAAATCACAACAATTTTTGTGGCCTTAAATTTACCCGGTGGAAAATTGTTTGGTTTATGAAACATCCATTTGTAGATTTGATAAACAAGTAAGGCAATCCAAATGCCAACCAACACTACTGACACCATTTTTTCTTTAAATTTCACTCACTTCGCCAACCAGTTTGGATACACTGGGAATAAAATAGCCAGTCACAAGATCTTATATGGCGATCGAATACCGATTGATGTTTATAAGTGTTTTGATCAAAAACAACAAAAAAGTCATCAATCAAATTACAGTTTTGTACAGATAAACAACAAGGTTGTACAGTACACTGAGTCTCGATACTTACTGCCGCTGATAATTATGTCGAAAAAGATCAACTATATTGTTTAGGAAATAAATCGTTGAATGACAAGGAAATTGAAAAATCAATGCGACTTCCGATTTCGCTGTTTTTTTTTTCTTTCATTCTTCTGCTTGTCTCCGGTTATGCTTGTGTGCACAGAGCAAAAAATTAGTGTGTAGGCAGACGGCGATGTAGCTGATAGACGTCTGGGACGATTATTAATAAGTAATTTGAATCGTCTGATAATAGACTTTAGAACATTCGGAATGATTTGCAAGAATCGTTGAAATCGTCTGCGCTGCATTGAGCTGAACGTGTTTATTTTTTATTTCGTATTTGACCTTCATTCGTGATAAGCATTTTGATAAAAGCGTGTTAAGCTTTATAGATCCTTGTCTCACTGATTTTTTTTTTTTTGTATTTTAGAAATATCTGCTTTTTTCATTCGGTTTCATATGCGTCGCACAAATCCATTAATCAATCATTTAATTTCTTTTCATTTTTCAAGTCGATTCGAATAAAATGCGATAACAGAATTCTCCGTAGTTCAGAATTTAATATTATTAAGCAAGGATTCGTACAATCTATACGATATTATTGACTTGGTATAGCACACGTGGCGTCAAAATGCAACAGCCGCACTAAAAATCGCATGCATATTATATATGCTTTAGTTCTTGTGTTTCAATCACATGAAATAACAAAATAAACCACTTTTGTCGAATATGCCTTTTCAATTCGATTGATAACTACAAATTTGTATTCCCATTTGTCCTATTAATGGGATGAAAATGAAGAAAAAAACTATCCGATACACAATAAAAAGAATTACATTGGTAATCCCGAACTTTTCCGTACCGTTGGCATACGTTGTGCGTAGGTACTTTTGGTTATTTTTTTTGAATTTTCTTGAAATAAAGGCAGTGAAAATATAATAATAAAAATAAAGTGAAAAATCGGTCACTCTAACTAAAACTTCGACAATTTTGTATGAGAGGTACCCGTAAACCGATTCTCATTGGCTTTAAACTTTCTGATGTTTCATTTTTTGTAGAAAAAATAAGATTCCGAAAGTTTCATGTTGATCGCATTTGCAGAAGTTTGGTTTTTTGGCCACTAAATTTTTGTCGAAATTTTCTTGGAAAAAATTGTGGGCCAAAAACCAAACTTCTGCAAATGCGATCAACATGAAACTTTCAGAATCTTATTTTTTCTTCAAAAATAGAAACCTCAGAAAGTTTGAAGCCAATCAGAATCGATTAACGGGTACCTCCCATACAAAATTGTCCAAAAATCTGTAATTTTAGTCAAAATTTCAAAAAATTTGTATGGGAGGTACCCGTAAATCGATTCCGATTGGTTTCAAACTTTCAGAATCTTAATTTTCTTTCAAAAAATGAAATCTCAGGAAGTTTGAAGCCAATCGGAGTCGATTTACAGGTACCTCCCATACAAAAGTGTCAATTTTTTGAGGTTTTTCTTAGGGCAAGTACCCCAGGATCAAATCGAAAATGGCTCATCTTTTTTGCGAAAAAAGTTTTCGGGACCAATTCCTATACTTTCCCTTGACACGTTGTGTACGGAAAAGTAAAATGCAATCGAAAAGCGTGTTGCATAAATATTGTCATTTGTCATCGTAGAAAAATGAACTGATGTTCCATACCGATTTGTATACATGTAAACGTTTCACTTTCAAAGTCATAATATCAATTCGTATATGACGAGAGAGTTCATCGTTTATGAATCATATGCGTAAGTGATGACATCATTCTCGTTGAAGTACGTTGTTATATAAAAGTGCATATGGTGAGCACATTGTTTCGCTTTTATTTTATAAAATTGATAAAATGGTATCAAATTCCAGAGATGATTTATCAAATTCACATACAATTCTGATTAAAACGGAAAAAGTCCGAAATAATGAAAGAAAAAAAAAGTGTTCATTTCTTACAAGAGAGAAATTTTCTACGATAATTTATCGTAACTCATTGTTATCATTCTTTAGTTCTTAGTCGATATTCTATTTTAAAAACGAAAAAAAAGCAATGATAAAATTCATTCGCTGAGTTTATCGAACCGACTTTATTGTGAATGTTTTTGTTGCTCTTTCGATCTATCTCAATTTCAGATTCAGAAAAGATCGCCGAAATCTGTTGATGAAATTGCGTTCATTAGTACTATCAATGTAACGTTTTCAAGGCACTCAATTACCTACGTGTCCCACTAAATGTAACCCCATCGCTGATATTGATAAAAATCGGCGCGAATTCGTTGCGACAATTGAAATGACATCAATTTCAGTATACTTACCGATAATATGGGTATCGTCGTAACGTTTCATCATATTTACGACATATAGCATCGTTCGATTGTTTATTGATTTCATATTTTATGGTGTTTTTTCCAAGAAATAAACGGCAATATCAGGTGAAAGAAAGTAGCGACATAGTTTGTCGGTAAAATTAAAAACAATTCGAGTTTAGCTAAAATGATGTAATACCATTCGATCAGAGTTTAAATTCATTGATTTGTATTCAATTTTGCATTGAAATGTGAGTCAATGGTTGATTTTGGATCATACCTATAAGGTCCCAAAAAGAAAATACAACTAACATACATTTCTAATTGAATTCAAATTCAAAAGCAGCAGCATTTAGATGCAAAATGTATACTTTTATTTGACATAAAAATATCGTTAAGCCAATAATTCATTTTCACATGACGATTAGTCAACTTCACTAGCTAATTTATCATATACTATATAATGTAATATAACCATTGGTATACATAGATGTGTGATTGTAATACTATAAGTGCTGAATGTTTTTTTCCCTTGTTATTTTTCTGTTGTTGTTGTTGTATGGTGTATATAAACTAGTGCTATTTCATTCTGATGACTTTTTTTCTCTCTCTCTCTCTTGATACACTTCAAGTGGTGGTTAAAAATTGATTCGATATGATTTAATTTTGATCAAAGTGTAGAAAAAGCGAAATAAACACACTTTGAAATCTGTTATTTTTTCTTTGTTTTGTTTTTGCTATTCTGTTGTTTCTTTGCATTTAAAAATGATTATAAGGCCACTTTTGCAGTGTGGCCTGTTCCGCTTATTTGTTTTTTTTTTCTCTATTTTTTACGTAAATTTTCAAAAAATGCTATATTATTTTTCAAAATCCCTGGCACCAATACCGGACTAGATGGACGTTCAGGGCTTAAGCGACCGTCTTTTTCATTGTTGCTGTCATCCGTTGCATTCCTGAGCACAAAAGAAATTGAAAAAAAAAACAATATAAAATCAAATGAATTGAACAGAAATGAATAGAAAGAAAGGTTGAAATGAATTTCGATTGAGATTGTGTTTGGATGATGAATTTCGGTATGACATTTAAATTTCAATATCATAAAATTTTATAACCAAATAAAATTTCGCTATATGTACCTTAATTCTTCACGGAATTTCGTTGATAAACTGCGGGCTGTGATGCTGTAGCCGGGTGCAACTGGATTATAGGCATGATTGAAATTCGGCACATATGTTGGCGACGATGGATCGTTGCCATTCTGGTCTTTCACATTGATATCATTGTTATTGGGGCCATTGTATGAATTGCGCCAAACCATCTGAAGAAGAAAAGAAGAAGTAAAAAAAAACCATCAACTCAATACACACAAACACATTACTATTTAATTCATTCATATTCCGTTTAAAAGTGATCTCTTTTTTTTATGATATATATATATATAGATATATCAACTCGCGGCGTATTTAATTTACCTGATTTGTAAGTTTTCTCTTTCAAGTGAGGCAAAGTGAAGAGCAAACAAAAGTACGAATCAAGATTATAAAGAAAAATTAAACCAAAAATTAATTCAATTAGATTTGTAATTGAAATGTAAAATTGGCATTTGTAAATGATTGCAGATGCATGACTATTTCAAGCCATATGGCTTCTCCACTCGATACGACTCCAGAAGAAAAAAAAAATAAAACAATCGAGTGGAATGGATTCATGAAACGCACGATGCGTTCGTTCACAAATAAAATTTTTTTGCAACATTTAGCTAATTAAGTGCTGTCTATGGTGTGTTTATGAACAAGAGCAAGAAAAAGACGAAGCAAAACAATGAATGGTGACTTACTTTTGGGCGCTGCAGTTTTTCGGGTACGGTATTGGTATTATTTTTGGTTGAAAATGTTCGAGCAAGTGCTTTGACCGATGGCAAAGCCGAAATGACATCTTCTTCGATGACGGATTTTTCCTTATGCTCGTTCACTTGGACGATCACTTCGCTATTTCGTTCGAATGCTGCTTTCACATGGTTGTGTTCACAATGTTCATTTGATATGTGCTCAACGTATTGATCATCGGCCGCCGTAGCATAGTTGTCATTGTCATCATTTTTGGTAGTTGGCACATCGATGGCTGTTTCACGATCAGCCATGAAACAGTGAATTTCATCGTTTCCATTGTGATGTTGGTCATTCTGCGCATCCGTATAGTCATCATCGAATTCATCACTGATGTGATCACTGGCACTTACATTGACTAACACATCTTTCGTGTGTTCTGCGCACACGACAGGCTCTTCCGATTGTTGTTGTTCTTGCGATTGTTCGGTTTGCATTTCTGGTTTTTCTAATTCAAATTGTTGTTCGGACTCATGTTTGAGTTGCGCATGTTCTTGTTGCTGTTGTTCTTGATCTGGTTCTTCTTCTTGTGGTTTTTGTTCCACTGCTTCCTCCTCTTGTGGTTTTTCTAATACTTGGCACTGCGTTGTTGTGGCGACTACTTCTGCTGCTGCTGCTGCTTTGGCTGTTGTTGTTTCACTTTGTACAACACACACTTTACTTGACTCGCGTTCACTGTCCAGCAATTGTTCGGTTGCCGTGCCTAAGTCCTTATCACTGTCACCGCCACTGTTCACAACAATAGCAACCGTTGATGACTCAATTTCACTGAAAATGTCACCATTACTTTGTCGCTGTTGCTTCAATTCGTCGATAATTTTCGGATCTAAGCTCGTTCCAAATGCGTCATTCATCAATTGAACATCGGCCATTTTGAGTTTGCGCGGATTTCGATTCAAATGGATTGATTTCAATTTGGTTGGCGATCGTGGCGGTTTGCGTGTTTCGTTCGCGTTTTCCAATATACGACTGTTAAAGTGTTGGATGGTCGATTGAAGCGGCGAATCACTTCGTTCTTTTACGCTCCGAAATGTCGATGTGGTTGTTGTTGTTGTTGTTGTTGCTGTTGCTGTTATTTCGCTACAGCAATTGCCCAAATTATCAAACGTATTAATCGATTCACCACCGACGGGATTGCGTGATCTCTTTATTATATCGTGACGTAAAATTTTCGTTTCACGCTTATTCAAATCGTATACACGAACTGTAGCCGTACAATCCGACTCTTCGCTGACCGTTGTCGATAAACTGTCGTCGCAATGTGGCAATGATGATGATTGTTGTACGTGGCCAATGCTATCGTCGTCGGTTGCTGTCGTTTCCGAACCCAAACTTAATTTTGCGTACTCTTCAGCTGACACCGCTTCACTGTGTAGCAAATAATAGTCACGATCTTTGCTGCACAAATGATCTAATTTCGTTGCCTTGTCGAGAATTGGATCGTGTTCGTCCACTTGTATTGGTTGCGCTGTATGTAATGTGGTTGTTGCTATTTTTGTAGTTGAATGTGCCTCCGTGAATGAACCACCGCTATCGGACTGAATGCATGCGTTACTTTCTGTAGTCGATACCACTTCTATGTCGCCAACAAGCAACTGCAAAAATGACCGAAATTCATCGGTGAGCAGAAACAGAAACAGAAAGGAAAAAAAAGAGAAACGAAACAAAAGAATGAAAGAGAAAGAAGGGATGTGGAGATTATAGACACATATAATAGTAACGAAACCAGAAGAAAAAAAAAATAAAATAAACGATAAGAAATTCAAGAGAAAAAAATATGAAAAATGAATGATGAATAACAAAAGCAGTGACTATACACAAACGCCACACTCCAACCATACACACACACACACACACACACACACTCACTCACTCACATGCACACCGAATACAAAGTACGAGAGAGCAAGAGAATGAACGAGAGAGAGTGAGAGAGAGAAGAAAAACCAGTCAAATACATTGATAACGGCTGAAACGGTGCCTCAAAAACGAATGTGCTCCAATTGAAATATTAGAATTCGATAACTTGTTGCTGTTTTTTTTTTTACTTTCTTCACGTCGATTTGTATTATTAGTTTTTTTAGTCGTGTCTTTTGCTCACTTATTGTTCTACCGTTTATTTGTATCATACAGCAATGACACTGAACAACCAATTTTTTTTATATATATATTTATACAAAAATACGATTTTGTGCGTATTTACACAAATGACAAAAACCAACGCCCCAAATTATCGTGTTCTTGTTTCTCCTTCGACTCTTCATTCATATGTGTCTTTTCTTCTTCTGTTTTTTTTTCCCTCAATTTTTAACGAGTCTATTGTTCGGCTTTGTTTTCTTTTCTTTTCATCGACAACAGAGAGAAAAAATATGTATGCATATCGAGAGATGGTGGGAGAGAGAGAAAGAGATTAAACTCTGAGCAGATTCGATCACAATCACATATATGGAGAAAATATCGATACTTGCAAAATACACAAAACTCAAGTATGGACCATAGACGACAGATCTATGATGATGATGATATTGAGATTGCTATTTTTATCAATCGAAAAAACAATACGCACCCACACATACACACACTAAAATATTCAATTTACTTAAGATTCTCGCGACTAAAAGCAATTTGCATTAGTACGTTTGTTGTTTGGGTAAAATTTAAGACGAGCGCGATGCGAATGAAAAAAAAAGCGCTCGATCCAATTACAAGTCGTGCTTTTAACTAACGAACGTTTATTGTTCTTATCGGCCAGCCGCTTATTAGCGGCAGAAAATATTTTCAGTGTTGTTATTTTGCCTCCCTGCCCGCCACACTCATTAATCGATTATATTACATGAAAACGACCAGAACCAAAATGACCTTCAAATAAAAACCGAAACATGTTTAAACAGTCAAACGAAAACACACACACACACACACATACAGTGTTGCGCTATCAAATGCGACACTTATCACCGCTCGAATTGGCTGATAACGATAGTCGTAAATGTTGTGTATTTTATCGGAAAACCCCTGGCTATCGTTAACATGAAATGGGCTAATTTTGCTGAAATTCTCAACTCACTGCAAAACTATGCCAGCTATATATTGCAACCATAATGCCAATTTCAATGTTTATGTTTCCGTTGACAATATGTACAACTGGATACCTTGAGATTTTGAATGTAATTACCGAACAAATGGCCTTTTTGTTCAAGATCATCGTTGCCACATTCAATACATACATTAGAACTTCAGAGCTAAACCGTTTCAAACTATATACAATGGTTTAGCATATGGTTTTTACTGGCTCATCAGCTGAGATATGGCTTTACGTTTGACATAGAAAATCGGTCGCATTTGGGTGAGCAAACAAAAGAAATTTTGATTTGATACGGAGAAAAAGGAATCTTTCAGAATCTGGGTGTGAATGAGAACAGTATGCGATAAACGGGACTTCATGTAGCCATTTGGCACATTGTGTGTCAAAGTGATTAAAAATCAGAGTACAATATCCATGGTACAAACAGTTCAACGTTTTTTCTAACTTTGTTCTCAAAATTCGCAACGGAAGAGTCTTTTGTTTGACCGGTTGAATCGGTTGTTTCTTTTTGGATGAAAAAGAAAATGGAATCAATTCCAAAGACAAACTTTTTTTTTAAACGGTTTTACGTAAATTCGTTGTCATGAATTTTGAGCAAACATCCAATTCGGTTTTGTTATGTAGCAGCATGTGTATAGAAATTGTCTCGCCGATTGAATTGTTACGTTGTTGACTAATGACTGCTAATTTATCGCGTTTCACGACGAATATAATCAGTCGTCAATATATGGTATGAACACTTTTTCAAATTCAATTTTGTTTTTGTTTTCGATCGTTTTGTCGGTTTGAATTGGTTTTTTTTTCTCTTGATATTTCTTTCATCGCTATTGATTTTGTCTGATACGGTGTTTTTGCTATGAAATGTGCGGCTCATGCCGCTGAAATGTTAATGCCGTATTAATTGTTGAGCTCATACACGAGCAGCAATTTGTTTTTGTTAGAGAAATGTTTCATTTGGACGGTTGATCGGTAAGCATAAATATGGATACTTGGAAGTTCGAAATAAAAAAAACCACTGATAATCAAAATCAGTGACTGATCTTTCAACATACAGTGACACTGATTCGAATAAATTATGCAATTTCTACTGTGTATTTTTTATTATTTGCGTCTTATTTGCTGTTCATATCTGCAACTCTCAATTACCACCAGTTCGATGAAACGATAATTTCCAGTTGAGCACGTGATCACGTCGTTCCAATTGAAAATACGAATATAACAACCAAACACACGGTATATGATAATCAAAATCGATAATTTCTTTTATAGCCAATAAGTACCATTTATATTATGTCGAATGCATATTTAGTTGTTGTTAGTAAGAATTTTTTTCGGTTTTTTTTTTTACTCTGATTTTTTTTAGCGATTTTGAATTGCTGTAGTTAAACATGATAAATGGATGGATGAAATATGACTGAATATGGGAATGAAAATGTTTGTGTGTAAAAAGATGCACAACTTACCACAACAACGAAGGAAATAATATGATTTTTAAAAAAGAAACAAGCAATAACGAAAATGAGCTCGACAAAAACAAAAGTGCATAAGCAAGCAAAGGAAGGTAAATTTGAATGAGAGAGGAGGGGAGGTGTCAATCAGAAACGAAAGAATTTCTTACTAAAAACAACCAAATTTCTTTAATCAAATTATTATATTATTGTTTCTTATTTTTCTCTTTGTATTAACGATAACTTGACTTTTAATCATATAAATTCATTGTACAATGATTACAATTTTGGATCATTTTTTTCATTCACTGGTACTTAACTGGTAAAAATTTGTTTTTTTTTTCTACACTGCAACCAAGAATCTACTTTTTTAAAACCGAAAATTGTGTTTTTTTATTCTTCAAAGAAACTGGGTAAGAATTAAAATGTAGATTTTGTTTTTCGGTCCGTTGCTGTTGCCGTTAACGGTGTAATAAATGTTTATACTATGTGACTAGCCCAACCGATGTTTGTGTGCACTAAAATGGATTCCATTAGGTGATTATTGTCAAGGGAGAAACATAAAGCTTTGGTGGCTCATTTGCGTTTGAGATAGATATATAGGCTTATTTCACACAATTCTAAATACTAGTTGCGAATGCGCTACTTACTGGAAGTCAAATCGAATTTTTGTGTTATTTCTCTCTCGTATTTTTTTTTTGTTTTGTTTGAGTGATGATTGAATACGCGGTTTTAATTCAATACACCGATAGAATACTCAAATAAAATGGAAACGAACCCAGAAAAAAAAAACGAAATACGTTACTACTTTGTAGCGAGGGAAAATGGCACAGTCTCTCTCTCATATAATCAACAACAACAAAAAAATATAATCGAAAAACGAGTTCACCACAACTCAGTTGCCACTTTCATACTAAAAACTAATGTATAAAGTAATACACACGACAAAATAAATCCATATCTTGAATTCATTTCGTTTCTCACTCTATCATTTTCACTCGTTTTCTCTCATTTTGCCGCTTCATGGATTCCACCGCTTAAATACAGCTTTCTGCACGTCGTTCAATACCATTCATCTATTTACAACTCTATATCAACCATACACACACACACACACTCCAACAATGTTCGTGGCAAAATGGCAAAGTGAATAAAACGAAGAGAGGAGAGAGAGAAAAAAAGAACACAACGTAACGTATAACAACTAAAAACATCCAGCTAATACAGTTGTTTAAACGAAACTGAACTTTGTGCAGAAAAAAGAAGAAGAAGAACGAATCATAAAAACATGATACGAGCGCAAGCTAAACAAATGGCCACGCTAGCTAGATGTTTTTGTTTGTAGCAAGCGAACGAGTGAGCGAGCGAGTTAACGAGCGAACGAATAACAGAGCAGTACCAGGCAATAGAATTAAGTTAGAAACGACCAGAACAACAACTAAAAAAAACAACAATGTCGAGAGTGCAAAGTGGATGACAGTATGACACAGTATATATTGGGATGTGTGGAATATTTTAGATCGGTGCGCCGGTTCAAACTTATGAATCCGTTGTTTGGTGCTCGCTGTACAATGGATTAATCACAAAGTTTCTGGTTCCTCTTCGGCTGCTGAAGCTACTTCGTCGAATATCACTGAGCAACGCATCACGTTCCAACTGTGCAAACGTTTGACGATGACCAACACCATCACCACCGTCACCATCAGCAGCACCTTGGCACGATGGTCGATGTTGTTGGTCGGCCGGTGATTTATGTGGTTTCTCATCTAGTCGACCCAATGTGCTTACCGATGACCATGAATCGCAATCATTGCGATTAAACCGTTTTCTTAAGCCATATGTTCGGACGGAGCATAAAGAATGCGATCGTTTCAGCAGTTGGGGCTCGTTTAAAAGCGATTGCATGACCGTTGTCGTTTCGTTCATTCGTCGTAATGTCATCGGCAAATGGGCGAAACGATATCTACATTGCCTTTCGCTACGATTACTGTAAAAGCTATCTAAATCACTCACACTATGGTTTTCATCATAGTCATTTTCCGGGGTGTTGCTGGTGACGCTGCCACGGCCGTCATTATAGTAGTTGTCATCATCGTCATCGTCGATGGTACGATGCCGGTTAAGATCGCCGCTCGTTCTTAGCGCTCGTGAGCCGGACGCTGTTTTTGAATCGTTTATATAATAATCTCGTCCGTATCTATCGAGAAGACAAACGAACGAAAATGAAAAAAAAAAAAACAAATCAATCGTCAAATACGATATTGACACACAAACCTTTCCGGATTCACTCGTTTTGCTCCCAGAACCACCTTAATGGGTTTGTCGCTTTGATTTGGGGTGCTTAATGGTTTACTTTCGATATTTGCTTCGAATTTTCCAGCCAACCGTTCAATATCCATGAATTTGGTATTCGACGATTGACTCAAACGGCGCTGCAATGCTTCCGCCGAATATGGGTTATTTGGAAGTTCAACGGCATTTCGCCATTTCATATGCTCGCGCTCGGCGATCGATCCTAGAAAAGAGATGAAGTCATTACGTTACGAACATTTCTCGTCAAATTCTTAAGACAAACAACGATTGGCCATTAATTATGACGTTTTTTTTGCTGTTGTTGTTTACCTGGTAAATCTCGAAAATCATGATCGAGTGATTGATTAGTGCTAATGGTACTGTTAGTTTGCAATTCGTTAGTTGTATTAATTGACTCGGTTTCTACTACATTTTCAGTGGTGCTACAACTAAATTCACAAGTGCTAGTTTGTGAGGCACAATCCTGCGACCAATTTGTTTCAATTTGAGCGAACGGAAGAAACTGTGGTGTGCCCTCATTCGTTTTGTTTGCATCGATTTTCATGGCTTCCAAAGAATCTTGTTCAACGGTATCAAATGAATCGCCTTTAATTCCATCCTCACCAATTTGAGCACGATCTCGATCTGTTGCAGTAATTTCCAGTGAATCTTTGTATTCTTCGTTCAATTCGGATGCGGTTTTTTGGAGTAAACCCACTCTATCCACACTCGAAATGGTGTCGGTGGCCAGTGGGTATGCATGACTCGATTTACCTGAAAATTTGGTTTAGTATATGTGCAACAAACAACATGAATGGCTAGTAAAATTAGTTTCAAATCTTGGTTTTCGGTTAAAACTGACTAGTGTTAAAGTTACGGTGATTTGGTTAAACATTGACAGTGAGCAAACGAAAAATGGAAAGCAATTGTGAAATTAACTCACCAGTGAAACGGTTCACGTCCTCTAGGCTGGTTTGAAAAGTTAAAAAAAGTAAATTTTTAATCATTTGATAAGAAAATGGTTCTTTAGTTGAAAAAGAATTGATTTGGTATAGGAAGCGGATTTGAAATGCCAAAAAACTATAGCGCCCACCTTTGGTCAAATGCGTGCATTTTATCGAATGAATTGTTGTCATTTTTATTCAAAATTTCCACATTATTCGATTCATGATCTCGGTACTCTGTATCTTGATTATACGCTTCAAGTGAATCGAATTTGATGAGAAGATCAGCATTAGCCGTCATTTCATTGGACCCACTGTATGTGAATGTATGTTCAATGCTGTCGTCGGTAAAACGATTCATTCTTTTGGCTGGTATTGGTGATGGACGATCTTCGATTAGAATGAGGTTATTCTTTGCTTCTGAAATGGCAGGACTTTGACCGGTCAAAGACTGCTCAGAAACCAAACTATCGGGTTCAAGTAAATTAATTAAAGCCACTTTGCTCTGTTCAAAGGCGTTCATTTCATTTTTTCCACCAATCAGTGTTTTACTCTCAACTAAAACATGTGGTAAATCGTGTGCATTCGATGTGCCGTTATAATTTAGCTCCGTATCACTGTGCAATTCGCCCGGCAATGAATCGATATCGGAACCGTTTTCCGATAGATCGCTTATTTCTTCGGCGTTTCGATTTCCAATTAGGGTGGGACAATCCTGTCTCGGTGATGGTACTAACATTCCAACGGGCGATGAAGCTGATGCAATACTACTTGCCGAACCGCCACCACCGTTCATATAATTTCTCGATACAACTTTACGAAATAGCCAATTGTCCGAGAGTTCGTTGTAATTTGTTTCAAAGCCCGTGCTATTCGCGTAAATCGACTGAAACTCTTGTTCTATTTCATCGGAATCTTCGTCAGCGATATCAATTTCGTTATCGTTGAACTCAAAGTCGGGCAATGAAATTTTATGATTCTGTATGTAATCGCTTAATTCGCTACGTGCACTCGCCGATGCGGATGCTGATGACTGATAATTCTCTTTGCCCAATTTCTCACGGAATATTTCGTCAATAATATCAGCCGTCTGTTAAATGCCAGGAAAACGAATTACAATTAGATTCATTCGATGAGAAATGTGTGTGTTTTGCGTTTTAAAATAACGATGGGCTTACCTTCATTGACGGCGAACGATAACGTTCATTAAATGCACTACTGTATTCACTTTTCAAATCGGTTGAACTGCAACGCGAATTTAAAATGAAATTTTGATTCGTTTGATCAATATGGCAACTGCTATCTAAATCCGAGCCTCCTGAATGTATACCCGAGCTATTTTCGTATTTTTTATCGTTGTACGTTTCGACAATCTGTGGAAATTGAAAGTGAAATTGATTCGATTTTTTTCTATTTTATTTTCTGTTTAATTCAAATGCAGTAGAAAAATCTGATGACATGACAAAAATTGTATTGCTTGCATGCCAAACTATTGACCGTAACTGATTGCTAATGGAAAATGTATTTGCTAGTGGAAAAGTGGACGTTATGAGGGGAGAGGTTGGGAAGAGAAAAAAAAAGTACAATCCAAGTGAAGCCCTATGCGAGCGCATTCGTTAGTCGAATAGTATTTTTAGTGGAGTTTTTTTTTCACTATGCTTTTTCTTTCGATTTTTACTGCGAATCGATAGGTTACGACTCAAAACAAGGAAATTTGCATAGGTTTCCACATTACACACGCCGCTTCACATGATAAATAAACATACGTGAGTGTATTGGCATCGAATCGATGAATGCTTTCAAGTGTCGAGATGTCAAAAAGTTCATACGTTCATATAGATATGATTCATGCGCAATATATTAAATATGCTTCGTTGGATAATAACACCGAGTAATAATTGCAAGCAGGCTATTTTGCATATTCTGACTGTGAATCTCCATTTAATGAATGCCCCGAAAGCACAGAACGAGAGATACAGATAGAGGTAGAGAGATAGGGAGAGTGCGAGCCAGAATGAGAGAAAACGAGTGGAAAAGAGAAAGAGTGAGAGTGAGTGAGTAAGATAGAGATGATGAGTCGGGGAAATATAGAGAGAAATATCGACGGAAAACATACAGATAAATACTGATGTATTCTCTAATTTTGAAACAATTAAGACTGATTAGGTGAATTTGAGTTTGGAGTTAACTTTCATGGAATTTCCCTTTGAATATGTGTGCTACTATACAAATAATGCCATGAGTGGCAATCCATAGAGGCTAATGAATAGCTATGAACACTTCTCTATCTCGAAACATCTGTTTCATTTTATTTTATTTTATTCCATTCCATTCCGGAAAAGTCACAGGGTGTGTGTGTGTGTGTGTGTGTGTGCGTGTGTAATGCACCACCGTTGTGTTTGTGAATGCGATTGTCTGAATAAGTAATCTTTTGCAAACAAAATAAATGAGCAACAAGATAACGAAGAAGAGCAAAAACGAACGAGATAAGATAAAAAATGGAATCGTCTATTACTTCACGTTATTGTTTGCGTAAATTGAGAACACTGATGAAGAAATATTTAGTTTCCAAACCAATCGATTTGAATTCGCAGAATTTACTTTTTTTTAATATCTAATATAAAGAAGAAGTAGAAGAAAAAACACGACCCATTAATTAGAATGGATTGTTTCTTCAGCAAAAGAAAACAGAACGAAAGCAAACAAAACCAGAGTGGAAAAAGCAATAAGGATGAGTAATTGGAATGCTTGACGGTCAAATACTGTGTGACGATACCAAAATATCGACGATACAATCGAATAGTAAAATTTTCCGCAGAAGGCGACACCTGCCCTGATTACCTTATTGATTACCGCAGTGGCGAGTAAATCTTCATAGATTTTTGGCTCAAACGATGACTGAACTTGATTTGTGTCAACATCCAATCCCTTTTGGTTACAGAATTCCGGCAATTTGATAACCTCTTGGACGATGGTGTGCACAATTTTTCGCAGGTTTTCATATGAAACGCCCGGATTTTTCTCGTGCTCTAATATGGGTAGATCTGTATAGAGTGAACAAAAGAACGTAATTCCATGTTAGTAACTTCTGAATACATTTGGATTCTTTTTGGACGGTTTGTGCTTTTGACTTTATCCCATTCAACTACAATGCATTTTTTTTTCATTCTACGAATCGATTCATGTAGTGTAAAATCAAGTGATGTGCATGTACAGTTTAAAGCTATAATTATTTATATATAACAACATTCCAATTAATACTAATTTATGTGCATTTCCTACATCAATATACACACGGGAATAACCGATAAACAACGAATTTCAGTAAACAAAACTATTGCTTGAATAGAATCTTCTCTTTTCGCTCTGAAATTTGCAGTAGGTAAAGAACGGTTTATTTTACGACGAACCAAATAGGTGAGTTCAATTTTGATTGATTCCTATTGGAGATGAATGAAAATCAATCAAAATTGAGCCAAATCTGGCTGCTGAGTCCTAGATACCAATTAATTCCCAGTTTTTTTTAGGAATTGAACTCAATTTCATCAGGAGTTGAGCTCAAATTTAAATGAAAAATAAAAATGGTGTGCGATTTAAATATTGATAAATTTAAGCAATGACACTTGTGTAAAATTTGAGACTAGGCAAAAATGAATGCTTGACATTTTATGAAATATTTGTTCAGCATTTTCCTAGCATCAAATACCTAGCAAAACGGAAATCGATGCCACAAAAGTGATAACAGAAAAATGAGAGAGAAAACAAAAACGAAGCGAGTAGCATTTAACGCAATGGACGCAATGCCTTGTTGCTTTTGTTGATGCATACTGAATAACGACCGACTTGAATTTACAATAAATAATGATGCACACAACATCGTAACATTATGTAATTGGAAGCCATAAGATTGGTGGCCATTGCTGTTGTTATTGTGGTTCCAGCCCCGCACTTTTTTATGCGTGCCAATTTTGATTATATGCATCGCATTTCTGTATTATAAAATCTTCTGTATGCAAAAATTTGTACACACATTTTTTTCAACGATTAATTATTTTTTTTTTGTTCATCTCCCACTTGTTATTTACACGCGTTATTTATGTGTTTTTTTGTCTCTATTGCATTTTTTTGTTGCGATGATGATTTTATAGAAAACGAAAAAAAATAGTGTTAAACATTTTTCTCTTTCCGTCTGTCACATTACCTAAAACGACCTCGATCCAGTGAAAAATTCCATACAGAGCAAATGCCAAAAATATATAAATGAATAGGATTAATTGCCATGTGAGTTCCATGTTTTTTTTTGTTGTTGCTGTTTTTGGTTATTTAACAAGTGGATTTAATGTGTGGCAAATAAATTGAATTTGCATTTGCTACCCGTGCAACCCAACTTTTGATGGTTTGGTGTTGTTTTTGTTGTTGTTGTTGGTTTTTTATTTAATTTCTTCTTTCACTTTTCTCCTTTATGGCATTAAAATTGACTTTTTGAACCCGATTCGATTACTTTCGTGCAACACATTTTTCTTTTATTTATAGCACTTTTTATCGATGATTGTTTGTTTTTTTTTTTGGTTTCTTTTCTTGAGTCTCACATATTTTCGCAACATATAATTGACATTGAATACACACGCGCACAACGTAAGCAAGTGTGTATCAACTGGTGGTGCTCAATGAATAAATCAATTAACCCGATATTTTATGGCAATGATATTAAAAAGCTATGGCAACACGGTGCGATGAAGAAACAGCAGCAGCAGCAGCAGAATCTAAATACGCGCGACGTACAAAAGTCAAGTTCATGAAAATTGAAAACTGAAATGAGATGCTGATGATGTGATATTGCATGATTTTGTTTAAGAATCTAACATTTGTTTCTTAAATATTCAATTTTTTGAATTCGATTATTCCATTCAAATGTTAAATTCGGTTGATATCATTCTGTCAGCTTTTCGTTGTTCCCTCCTTTCATTGATGGTCCTTCAAAACCATTATCGGCCCCATAAACAATCCAGTAACAACAACAAAAAAAACGTGGTAAACAATACAATTCACTTTTTTCGTGTATGTGATTCAAAAGTCGTGCCAATCAAAATGAACTTCGAATTGGTTTAATTTCGAACAATAGATTTTGACGAAGTTATCACGCGCAGAGAATTGATAATGTCACTTTTTCTTTAAATTTATTACATCCATTTGATTTGGCGTTGGATTTGGGTAATAAAATCGAAAAAAATTGAAACCGATAATCCTTCTTTCAATCAATCCACTGTGAACAATGGAGTGTGTCCTCATTTAAACTAAAACACTTTGGAATTTAGAGCAAATGTTACGGGGTTGACTTCGTCCGCCTGACGATGGTTACGTTGATAACACGTTCATACCACATGAATCTCGGATACTGTGTAAACAATGTGACACGGTTCTTGGTGAAACACTTTGTATTAAGATGGGTCATATGTGAACGGATGACGGTGAAACCGAAGCTATGCTCGAAATTTCTCGGATGTGAAATAGTGCAAAAGAATCGCGTAATCAGAACGAAAGCAAAACAATGACCGGTCTTGGTCTATTAATTAACTGGCCAAACCGAAAAGAATATTGCAAACCGATATATTCAATCTAGTGCCGGTGTTTACATGCTACACCGTCAAATGACAAACTGAATCGTTTGTGATTTGGCAAAAACGATTGGAAAGCAGCGAAAATATTGCGATAGTGACAACATGACATGGATGCTTTTCAGCGCTAGATTGGATGCATTCGATATGCTCAATTTGAGACTCTCAACAACCCAAACTTCAAGATCTTTATCACATTGAATCTTAAATGAATTTTATTTGAAATAGCGGTGTTTTATGAAGTTTCAATAACAATCTCTCAACGAAATTCGCTTAAATACCCAAAATGAAATTCCGTTCGAACCACATGTGTTAACTGTTTCCACTGTCACTTTCATCTGATAACATCGCCAATATTAATTATCAATGTGGGTTTAATTGGTCGATTTTAAATTGAGCCGTGTACGTTCCATTGGAGATTTGTTGCAGCCAATCCAATAAAGTTGGCAACTCTTGATTTTGATTCAACTTGATAACAGTCTAGTGATAAAGTGTGGTTTGAGTTGGTGTGTGTGTGTGTGTGTGAAAACCAATTCCTATTGAGCTTTTATGGCTATTTCAATTGTATGACATCACTTTGTCCGTGGTTTAAGCCACGTTAAAAACATTTGCCACAATCGATTGCATGATTGCTTTGTGTTTTAAGCATTCGATTGATTGTCAATATTTGCAATGAGTCAAAGGGTTTTTTTCACGATCCCATGGTTTATGATTCTTAAGCGCCATTAAGACATAAACACACACACACACACATTACGAAGTGATTCCTAACAAATCCATCAAAATGGATTGTTTTCGGTTTGTTCGTTTTTTTTATGGGCGTCGATTGGTTTTAAAAGAGCTGCATCAGAACTTGTTTGAATTACTAATTAATACGACACAATTTTGATAAGGGAAATTAGAATGAATATTGTGAATTTTTCTTTTATTTTTCCACACTGAATCAGTCACATTTTAATGAGGTTATCCGCACAAAATCACCGATTTCGATCAGTTTCGTTTTCGCGGGCTGCACACACAATCGGTAGATATGGACCGTGTATTACATGCGCTAACTAAACCGCACGATTCGATAGAGCCGACTGATAAAATTGGCTTCAGATTGAGAATAAGTTTTTTTTCGCTCTCTCTCTCTCTCTCTCTCTGTTTGTTTCTTGTTCCAAGTCTCGAGAAGGTGAACATCAATAAACAACACATAACCGAAACACGAAACCCGTGTAGTAAGAATAAGTGGCGCGAACTGCGTAAGCACATTGATAGCGGCGATATCACGATAGCGAGGAGAGCGCGCGCGCGCGCCACAACGACATACCTGTGCCAACGCACACACACACACACACAGACGACCACCGTGTGCGATTTACTTTTTCGCTTTATTTGTTCGCTATTCTCGTCTGTTTTTGTTATTGTTGTCGCATGGTTGTTGTTTTTTTCGTTGTGAGAGTTGAAGTGGCCGTCTCTCTTCTGTATTTTTTCACCGGATCATAGTGAACACAGCACGTCAACGCACCGGTACATGTTGTGTCACTGGATTTTGTTTTAAATTTGATTAGATATAGCACAAACAATGGCAATGAATGGAATAGAAACGGTGGGAGAGAAGGAAAGGGAGAGAGAGCGGGAGAGAGTGAAAGAGATAGAAAAATGAAACATAGAACATGTACGAACGTATAGTATGTAACTGAGAAATGGAAACAAGACTAAAGTGAAGCCCTTCCGAAATGGCGCATTCTTTGGAAATAACATATTAAACGCTTCTGATTGATTTCGTTACGGCCATCACGGGTGGTAACCGTTGCTTTTTTTTCCATTTCTTCTTCCGTAGTAGTCGAAAGTTGATAGTAGTGTTAGAAAAGCGTCATTTCGCTGCCATGAACTGTGAATCGATTACTCAACACACACACACACCAATAAAGCACGAAATTTAACTTGTAGATTTATGGCTTTCGCTTAAATTTATCAAACACTACGAACAACAACAAAAAAAAAACGAGACAAGAAAAAAAAAACTTAATTTCCATACTTGCTGAATAAAACGAGAGTTGACACTTTACAATGAAAATACCAGTTCGTCGAAGTGTATAAAGTCACCGGGCGCGCTTATGTTCATTACGTGATTGCCATTAGACGGCTCACAAAACACACGGCACATTTAATGGTATATTACATAGCTTTTTTTTTTATTACGAAGCACTTTCAAAGTATGTCTCATTTTGCTTCTTTTGATTGTCATTTTGTTGTCTCTGTCTATTCTGTTGTTTTTTGTGTTCATCTCCGTTTGTTGCGCTTCAAACAAAATGTGATAAACTTGCACTTGAACCTTATCAACGATGACAGTACAAAATTTTTGGTCGTTGCTATTTTTGTTCATTAACTTGCCAACATTTTAAAGGCAAAACAATTTCGGTCATTCAAATTAGCTAAAATAACCCTGATCGCTAATGAGAGAGAAGGAAACGATGATAGAAACGATTCTAGAAGTTAATCGCTTGAATTTAAAACATTTTGAATGCTTGCTTGAATAATGAAGATGCTTATTTTGCGAAAATAATTAATCAGAAATCCATGGCGTTCGAATGACAAAAAAATTAAGCTTTGACATTACACCGTTGATCCATAGATGACGGTTCGTCATTGACGGCAATGAGTTTTCTGTCATTTTCTCAATTTTTACATGAATAAAGCACTCTCATAGTCTCATTCTCGTTGAAACGCAAGAAAAAAGCTACGAAAAAAACCACATCTCGGCAGCCTTTAGCCTTGTCACGATATTTTTTTTTCTAATGCCCATATAGTAACAATGGCGATTTTTAGAGAGAAAATAAAATGGATAATGACTGTGTGCATTGCTATCAACCGTTTTTATCTCTCCTGTCTCAGTCAACTAAGCAAGATTCGATTCTGTACGTGCATTAAATCAAAAGTTCAGTTCAACTTGTACAAGATTGTTTTGCTGCATGCTACTCCGTACGCACACATTCGCGCACGCAAAATGCACAATTCCATAGAAATAAGAACAGCAACGGCGGATAAAAAAAAACTACCGGCCACTTCCAATGTCATGTGATTGATTTGGTTGTTTTCGTTTTTATATTGATTGTAATTTCCACGAATTTGACCCCGTTCATTCGATTACTGTAATCGCATTTTCAACGTACAAATTGCAAGTTAAGTGACATTGTTGCATACAAATTTGATTACTGTTATTTCGACTTATTCTCAATGCGTTAAAAATGCATTTTTGGAGTGTATTGTTTTGCTGTTGATATCGAAAAGTTTCGTTCTTAAGTGATCAGCTCTGAACTTTATCGCATGAATTGAATTCGTTATAATATTTTGTAATATGTTTGTTCCTTACACTTTATCGTGACGGTTTTATTAGCCGGAGCGAGTCGAGGCATGAGCGTAGAAATCAAAATCAATCACTTTTGAATCATGCTTTGCGTGTAATGCGCAATAAAATTTTGTTTATTGGCATTTTTAATGCCTTGCCAAAATAAATTTCTTGATTTCAAAACATTCATTATGCATTCAGGTATTAGTTTTTATTTTCCTTTTTGAAGAAGAAGAAGAAGTTGTATTTAAACACAACGTTTCAACTTAAAATTTATTATAAAAAGTTTTAGGGCACGTATAAGAATCCTAGGGGGATTTCTCACGAAAAAAATGAATGAATTCTTAAAAATTTTGAAAAATTTCTTCAATTCGCTCCGATTCGATCAATTTTTGTCAACTCGTGTAAATAAATGTACATTTACACTGAACTTTTGAATTATGCTTCAATGAAATTGTTCTAGAAGTGTGTTTTGGTGGATCTCAAGGTCATTTCAGTACATTTTCATACAATTTCAATCAAAAAGAAGGAACAATAGAAATTTTTGCACATTTGCTCAAAAATTTTCTGTGAGAAATCCCCCTAGTTAGAATCTTAGTTCAAGATTTAGTTCCAAACTCCTTTTCTCCCTTTTTCTTTCGCCTTTTCTCTCTTGCACAGTCAGTGAATCACCATGCATGGTGGTACACTACCTTGTTAAGCTCACCCAATGGCTATCACGAGTGTGAGCTTATTATGGAAAATACAAGTCTCTGCTAATTCGTCATTTTCTATTCAGAATTTGTGTCTTATCTAAACCATTTCAAGCACATTTAGAATATCTACCCCATCACCATTTATCTGATTTGATTTGTGAGTGCAAGTGTTCAAATTTCTCTAAAATGTGGCATGCAATATGTGCTGATTAAATGAAATGTAATTTTTGGTATTCAAACTCACCAGATGACAAAGCTTGATGCAATGAAACTTCCAACTTATAAATTACGCTACTCAACTCGCAATGGAATAGTAAAAATATTTTTAAATCTGAAATAAAGTATGACATAAACGCCTAATTCGTTGTAACTGCTTATGAATGAAAATGATTTTTTATGTGGGAATTGAATGAATATTTTTAACGCCTTAAATTAGTCTACCGGGTCATATAACCACTAAACTTTGTTTGTAGTATCAGTTTGTTTAAATTGATTTGTATACCATAAGAGACGTTCATTTAAATGGGATTTTTTTTGTTGAAAACAAAAAAAAGTAGAAATGATTTTTCCAATTTGAATAAGAAAATGCTAAAAACGGTCACTTACATTCTAAATTCTTGTAGATTTGTCCAACGCATACATGATCCAGTGATCCGCCAAGCATGGATGCAAGCAAATCTTCGATGAATTCCCGTACGCGAACTCTTTGTTGCAATGGAATTGGTGATGATTCGTCTACACATATGGTGGTTAATATTCAAAGATAGAACAACAAATGACAAAAAAAGGAAACATTGATTGGAATTGACCAAAATAGTGAATGTTCGGTTTGGTGTATGTCCGAAAAAGAGAAGAAAAAAAATTGAAATCAAAATGGTTTGTGCTTAGCACATCAAAAATTACCGTTTAGCTCCAACATAACATCATCATCATTCGATTTCGGGTTTGTATCGTGTATGGGTTCTGTTTTTGTGACACGTTCAACAGCAGATGCTTTGTCATCAAATCTACGGTTCAGTTGTTTGAAAATCCACTCATATGCTGGTACATACACAACGGAATCAAAATGATGGCAATTGGTGCATTCCCAGTGGTTATGCTTTGCCAGCCAAATACCACATTGTGGACTCTTACATATTTGCGACTGGCAAAGATGGCACGATGCAAACTTATCAATTTCCGATTCGGAGTCGGATTCGTAGTCGTTGTTGCTTTTGGTGGCCGCCGCAACAATATCCAATGGAATTTGGCATATAGAGCAATAATCGAATGGATTTCTGTCTAACGAAGGCTCAATGTTGTTTTCGTTTGAATGTGGTTCTATGTCAGCGGTAGTGGCGGTACTGCTGCTGCTGCTGTTTTCAGATGGTTTTTTCAAAGCAATCCTCCGTTTATCGGTGATCTTCTTGCTGAAACAAGAAAAACAGGCATGTTTATCCATAAGGAAACCATTTCAGTTTTGTACAAATGCCATACATAATTAGCGTCCGCTAATTTTGTACTCGGCGATTTTTTGCAATAGTTTTTTTTTTAGATTTCAAAAACGCCAAATTATGAAGCTAAATTTAATTTGTGTGTATATCAATGGCGGAAACGAATGCTTCATTCCGATATAAATGTGACATTTTGTGGTAAATCAGCGGTTTTCGTTCAATTCAATGTCAGTTAATGTTAACGCCGATGTTCATAACAAACGATAATCCCTCTGGCCGATATATACAGACACAAACATCAAATGCATTGTGCCACTAGTCATGGGCATTCATAAGGGAATTCCATACACATCATTATTGCGTCTGTCTCTGGTCTGGTATGACTGACGCATTTTTTTCTTCTAATTTATGAAAATCGAAAGCATTTAAGTTACGTTGAGATTCAACATAAACTGATGAATGCACAGTTAACTGACGCATTCAATGCGATGCATATGGATTAATTTGATGGGTTTCACCACAAATTCTGGACAGTGATACACCGCATATTTGCATTAGTGTCACTTGAACTTGACTCTGTATCAATCATTTTGGGCTGTCTTTGGAGATCACACCAAACGGAAGTAAATGTTGGGTAAACTAACGTTGCGATCTAAGTGTGGAAGAGTATTTGATTCAAATAAATATTCCAATGACAACAAATGGATTGAAGAAGACCATGGTTAAAACTGGTTGTCAAATTGCTCTATTCGATTTCCGAGTGATACAAGTTTAACTTTTTATTCACCTTACCAACACACTCACACGCATGATGCTGATTGAGCGGTCCGATTTTTGCGTCGTGAATAAAAACCCATTTGAATCGCATGTAACTTTGATGGGTAATCTTTGGAATATGTGTCATTCGAAAGAATTCACTTTTACTTTCACTTGGCCAAAACGAGTAGCGATTTTGCGTTGGTGAACGAACCGAATTTTGCACAGATACATCGAAAGCCCAAAATTTAAAATTCAAAAAAAGAAACGCGAATTTTCCGTAACTTATTCGGCCATAACCCGTCAATAAATCTATTCTTCTTTGGAATCAACATCTACAAACGCGTATCTCAACACTATTCGAAAACATCACGGTTGTGGCTCCATCAATCTGATAATCGTGACAAAAGAAACGGCGTATCAAAAAGCATTAACGAACAAAGTAAAAACAATGAAAACGACGACGAAAGCAAAAGCTCATCCAAAAAATTTGGAAATTAACTTAGTACATGGGAATTGTCCGGTTTTCATTGGCTACTTGTTTCCTATTTGCGCATAACATGCAAATCATCTTCGATGACGTCGACACATGTATGTCGTTGGGAATTTCAATTGAGGATTTTACATTTGGAACACAATTCGAATGAATCATCGTGAATTTTTAGTTCACTTCTGTCCGTGAATTGAATTGTTGGCATGAATTTAATTCTTTTTTTTTTCCTACTTGCAAACCATATTCGAAAGATTTTGAGTAAATAACTTAGAACTGAGCTATTTGAAGCCATCATCAGCCGGATTATAATTTTTCTTTCGGCTTCTTCCATGTGATTCGTACGTAAAAACATCAAAAAACAAATAATCCCCTCTTTGAACCATTATTTTTATGTCCAATTTCAATGAAATATTTGCAAACGAACAAACAGTGCTGGATTTTTTTCCTTCTGTTGATGGCTTTTGAACACAAAATAAATGTGACATTTATAATCGCTCAATATTCCAAAAACCACATACAACGGTCACAATTAAAATAGTAACTGTGTTTTTTTTCTTCAACGTGAGCATTTTATTATCGGTCGATATATGAAAATGTGTCGATTTAAATGTGCATAATCAGAATAGTACCTACACACTCGTTTGTATATTCAAATGTTATTGAATTTATATAATTAGGTTACTTTATAGCTTACCAACTGCCACGTGATGATGGCACGTACACGCACACACACAAAAAGGTCGACTAATTACGTTCGCAACAAATGTGTAGCGCACATTAAATTCCACATACAATGTAATGAACTAATTAATGAGTTGACATGAATTGTCAGTATCAATCGATTTTGTCGTTTTATAATAAAAACAATTTATCAACAATTTATTTTATTTGATATTATGGAATCGATTGAATGGAAACATACACATTTTAGTCATGAAATTCAATACGGCATGAAGTTCATACTTTTGGCAGACAGTGTGTTGTCAAGTTTCGGCTCTGATTTTGATGCTAAAAAGCAAGTAAAACGCATTCGAAATGATCATAAAATGACTGGCAAGAAGACGATTTTTCCATTGTAAACACAACAAAGGTGTTTCGTTGTGAAGACGAATCATGATGGGCAAAAGAATATTTGCAACGTTGCTGGTTGACGGACACGTTGATCGTTAATTTTTATCAAGTATTTAAATCACTCACAATGACTAGTCATCGATGTTTACGACCGAATTAAATTGCATTTTAGGCCATTGAACACACAGTCGATTAGTTTTAAATGCTGTGCGAGAGAGAAAGCGAGAGTGAGAGGGAGAGGGAGATAGGCAGAGAGAGAGAGAAAGAGAGAGAGACTTTGTCCAACCAAAGAGTAACTCTTTATAAGTTTCTCTTGCTATTGTGTTGTTGAGTGCATTCTTTTGATGTGCATGTTCTGATGGAATTTCCTGGTGTTCAGTGTATTATTGCCATTGTAGGCATCGAATAGACTTGGCTGCCAGACGCTTGTCTCACGCAACAAACCTTCTTTATTCTCTGCTCGACGCGTTCAAGTGCACGTAGCACTCAAAATTTACAATCGGTTTTTCCTACATCGCATACGCGAAAAAGAAAACACAACAACTGTACGTGTGTGTATTTATTGCACATACACATAAACAGCAACCGTTTAACAAAAGAAGAAAAAAGCCACACCGCTGCTGTTGCATCGCAAATGATTTTCGTTTTCATTTTTAATTAATGTATTAAACCGAAACGAAATGAAACGAAGAAATACTGAGGTGAGTTGATTGCGCTTAGTGACAACATACACACGCGAACACTGGGTAAATCAGTTGAAAGCCTATAAGTTCGTGTGATCATCGTTGAAGCACGTACAAGCCAATTCGTAATTCAAATTGCAATAATTGTGAATTTAAAGCAAAAGAAACGCAAAAATGTTATGTAAACGATTTTATTTCACAACCAGGAAGGAAAATCGACAGCAAAAATAAAAAGCAACACGACACGAAAAATCTTCAGCGCGGTACAAGATCTCACACGCAGTTCGATATATATATCGGGCCGAGTGTGTTGAACACATTTTTTAACATTTGGATATGGTGATTTAAAGTAATGCGATCATATTGTATGCTGTTTTCAAACTTTCCCGCGTGCACCTCATGCATACATTGGGTTCGATTGCAATTTTATAAAATGTAGTTGAATTAACACTGAATTATCTTTAATGGGTCGGACAATGGGTACATTGGACCAACACCAATTGTAGTGGAAACCATTTGAACACAATGCATTAATGAAATAAACTACGATGTCAAATAGGCATTGGTGAATTGAATAATACACCATTTCCACAGACAATTGATTCAATCATTTCGTTTCGATCATTCTGTTCTGTGCTCTAAAGATTTTTGCTTGCTTTCTCGCGCTTCGGTCACAAAGCTCGAAACAAGATTGTATGCACATATGGCAATAAATTGACCGCCGATATTTCTTAAGTGTTTGTTTCGGGTTTTTCCCTCTTCTTCTTTTTTTTCTCTGCTCTCTGTCATGTGTGTGGTGTGTAGTTTTTTTTTTCTTCTCTTCATTCGCTTGTTTCGTTCACTATTTTTACTCTCTCTCCCCATCACTTTCGGTGCGTTGTGCCGACGTCGTTGTGTCGATTTTTGAGCTTTTCTGTCTCTTTCGTTGTGTGTGAATCACACATCGATTCGCTTGTTGTACAGTGTGTATTCTTTATTTTATTTTTTATTCATTTGATATTCTCTCTCTCTCTCTCTCTCTCTCTCTCTTCCTCTTCCATCTATGTATACGCACATATGGACAGGGCATGTAGACGATAATTTAGATTTAGTCACATCGCTGATATGATTGCAAATGGTCGTGAAGTGAGAGAGTTCGAGTGTCGTACACGTACGATTTTTATGCGATTTTTTCAAGTTGTTGCTCGCTGTTGTTGATGTAACTTTTTTGTTATTTGCTATTTGCTGCCGCTGCTGCTTGCTGCTGTTGTGTATAATTTGATTTTTTTCCCCTGATTGTTTAACATCGGTGTGTGTGTTTTTTGTTGTTGTTGTTTGCTATTGCCGTGTGTATCGCGAACGCGTTTGCTAAAAACATCATCATTGAGTCGTTTGATTTCATTCAACTGAAACCGAATGAAGGCATTTCTTCGTTTTTTTCTGCGTGCGTCTCACTCGATTTTGGTGAATCGTCTTAATCAGTTGAATTTTGCCGCTGTCATCTAGTACACACCAACAAAAAACAACACACAATCACAACCAATTGCAACGGAAATTTCTTTAACCACTTTGATCTTTGACAACAGTATCAAGATCATTCGCATTGTTTATGTTCATATGAACCGGGTCGAGAATCAAAAGAGTGCAATGAACCATTCAAGTTTGAATAGCAATAAAAAGTGAAGTTTTTCTCTCTGTCTGAAATAGAAAATAAATTGGATAAACATCTGTGACGTACACTGTGAACAACATTGTGGAATTTTCGCACTCATATTGACGATCACAACGAAAGCGTGAACTGATCCTTCGAAGCGAAAAAAAAAAGTTCTGTATTTTGGTTGACAAATATAAAAAAAATTGACACAACCGAAAGAAACATCTAAGAAAAGCATCCGTAATACAGAAGAGTGAACGAAAAACGACAAAAAGTGTGCAAAAATTGCAAAAAGTAAGAAAAAGTATAAAAACGGAAGCGTCGAAGGAAAAAAAAACGA